GTCAATAAGCCGTCAATAACCTGTCAATAACCCGTCAATAACCTGTCAATAACCTGTCAATAACCCATCAATAACCTATCAATAACCCATCAAGAATCTGTCAATAACCCATCAATAACCTGTCAATATCCTGTCAATAATCTGTCAATAACCTGATGTTAATCTGAGGCTCCACGTCTGTTAAATGGACAGACTGGTTCTTATATAGTGCTTTTGTTCTCTGTCCGAGCACTCAAAGTGCTTTATACAGCTAATTCATTCACCCATTCACACTCATTCACACAGGCACTTCTAAGTTTAAGTGCTTCATAGCTAACATTCACATTCACACTCTGATGGATGCATCGGAGAGCAACATGGGGTCAGTATCTTGCCCAAGGATATTTGACATGCAGACTGGAGCAGCCTGGGATCGAACCACCGGCCTTCTGGTAAGTGGCTGATCCGCTCTGCCACCTGAGCTCCAGCCACCCCGTAATAAGGACCAATAATCTGTCAATAATGTGTTCATAATCTGAGGGTGGTAATCTGATATGTAGGATCAATAATACGAAGGTTATCAATGACTCACCGCCTCACATCCTGTACATTCCCTCCTGCTCGCTGCGTAGCTTCCTGGCTCTGAGGACGTCTCTGACACACTGATGCAGGTATGCATACTGCACCTGTGGAGAGGTGGCAGGTGAGTCACACCTGAGCTCAGATTACAAAATATAATTTTCAGTGTGACAGCAGAGATTACAGGATTATTACAGGAGTCTATCATTTCAGCCTGGGGGATTATTTTAGTCACCTGTGACTGAGTGCCTTCAGGTGTTTGTCAGCACCAGGTTTTAGAAATACAGATTAGCCAGTCAGGACAAACTGAAAAACACCTGTCTTGTAAACAGGAGATCTTGGGTTCCTTTGATATATTTAATATTTACATTTGCTCAGCTCAGGAAAGCTCTCTGAACTCTAGCAGAGGACATCTCTGGACCATCTCATAGCATCAGACATGAAAACAAATCGAAGTAAATAATAAGTGAACTCATTCAGGTTCTCAGCAGCAGTTTCAGTGCTGAAATCCCAAATGTGAAACTTCAGTCATCATACCAGATTAAACAATTTTCAAACTACAAATGTGGCTGACGCACAGAAAAGAGTCGATTAAAAGTGCAGAGATTGCCACATAAACGTTTGCCCCCATGAAGCATTGGTCCTACCTCAGTCTGCACCATGTGGGATCGATGGAGTCGCAGGTCAAACACGGCGCTGTAGATATCCACCGTGTCTTTGGCGTCCAGCTGCTGCAGCACTCGATCCAGGACAATGAAAGTCCCCGTCCGGCCCACTCCGGCGCTGACAAAAAGACCAAAGTCCAGTCAAAAACCACGTCGTATACTGACTACAGCTAATGTAGTGATGTAGTGTAATGATGGTCCACATTAGTCCACAAACACACATTAGCGTGTTATACTGGTGAAAAACACAAGGGTTCTCAGACTATGAAGTTTCTGTTGGTTTAGCTATAATTACTTCACATCTGACCATGTGATGCTTCACACACTTTGAGATTCTAGGAAATCAGTGGTTCGTCACTCTGAAGAGGCTGATATTTTAAGGGCACAGTGAAGTACCTGCAGTGGACTACAGTGGGTCCAGATCCCGAAGTCCTGTTGACGTAGTCTCGGACAGTACGGACAAACTGGATGAGGGACTGCGTGGTCTCTGGGACACCGTGGTCCGGCCACACCGTGTAGTGAAACTGACGAACCAGGCGGCTGAAGCCGAGCTGCTCCTCCTGCAACGCACAGTCACATTAAACTTCTTGTTCCTCAAGAATAAAATGAAAAGCGTTCGAGCCGCCTTTCAAACCGGTTCTGTAACAAAGATGACAGCTGTCGGTGAAACGTACGCTGTAGATGTTAAACTCTCTGATCGTCCACTCAGGCAGAACCGATTCTGACAGCATCTGGACGATCAGGTCTCCGTAGTACAGAGGATCCTGATCGAACGGCCAGTAGTGATCACATTTCACCTGGATGGAGGAAGAGGAGGAAAACCTCACTGTTTCAGGCTGATGAGTTTGTGAAGACGATGTCTGTAATCATTGCCTCTGTGCTACCCACCCTTCCTTTCTCCACACACTGAGTGACCATCACCACATTGTGGACATTCTGCTCCCAAACCATCTTCCAGAAGTCGTCTTTAGTTCCAGGCAGAGGACCCTGTGTGGCGATGTACTCCCGCCGGAAGTTGTTACCCTGAAAACAGAGAGCGTGAACCCCCCGACATTCGGACAACCGCTGTGACTGACTCACATGCTCTCTAACCTCGGTAAACACTTTATCGTCTTTGTCTCAGGTTTCAGAGACCAGCTTCATCATCTCGTCTTCACCCATCCTGCTCTTAACTACTAAATGAGTCTTTATCGAGATCAGTCTTTGCAATGGACTTCTTCACATCCAACCAAAATGAAACCCTGTCCTAACTAAGCCAGGTGTGTTTGTGTTGCAATCATTGTATGGTCACCAAAACACACCGACTGGCAAGCTGCGAAATGAAGTAACGATGAAGGAGAAGCTATTAGGCCCTACTCACCTGAGTAAAAACTAAGACGCACTGCATGTTTTTATGTTTTCACTCTTTACTGCACTTTGAATGAATCTCCAGTGCATCTCAGGTCTGTACTGACTTACTGGGATGTAACTGGCATTGATGTAGTCAGAGCAGGGGTCGTCATCAACGTAGGACAGCTTGACCCTCGTCGAGTCGTCTGAATACGAGAAAGGCAGTTAGACCCGGACCTTCTACAACCCGGTGATCTCTTATTGTGTCTGTGGGCTCTTGACTCACAGGGCAGGATGTTATTGTATCGGTTCTTTCCCCGGTTCTCCGGCAGCAGAGCCGAGTCCAGAGGCTGGTTACGACCGACGTCCTTCAGATCCTGATAGGGAGAAAATAAAAGCGATTCACAACACAAACAAAGGCCCACTCTGAACACTCTTAAACAACAAAATAGTGAAAACAGACAGGATAAACCCTGGATCCTTCACAATCCTCAATGTTGCCACAAGTTCTTTTATTCTTGGGGGATGTGATATGCTGAAGCTGGAGTCTTTCAATGAGGAACAAATGAGTTTTATTGATTGCTGACCTCATACTCCTCTGACATCAGGTAGTTGGAGTCAGCCTGTAGTTTGCTGTAGTGAGACTCAAAGTTCACAATCTTAATGGGACTGCAGGGGAAAAGAAAACATTTAAAACCAGAAAAATTCACAAAAGGTCAAAGATGAACCTGAAGCAGTGTGAACGGGAGTACAGACCTGGAGATTCGACGGCTGCTGAGGAGCAAAAGGCAGAGAGAGAGAGACCTCAGAGTTTAAACCTAATGATGCATTTTCATCTGCACACACATGCAGTACTACAGGCAGTACTACATGCAGTACTACATGCAGTACTACATGCAGTACTACAGGCAGTACTACATGCAGTACTACATGCAGTACTACATGCATTAATCAGACCCTCCTCTGAAGGAAAATAATCTGTCACAATGCATTCACATGTCCGCAGAAACAAAGGCACAACAGTACTCTGACTGTAGTATCAGTTCAGTTCTGATGCTGCCTGTGATACCTTCAGCAGGTAAGGGAGCTGAAGGTGCTGCAGCACCCCCTGGTGGATTGTAGAGGACATGCATGTCCATCAGTGTATCATGCAGGTTAGGGAATTCCAGAAAGCTGATTCTGTTTATCCGGACATCTTCAGTGGGAGAAACGTTTCGTCATCGTCCAGGTGACTTCTTCAATCTCAGCTGACTGCAGGTTTCAACCAACAGCACATTTGCACAGTGACTGAAACTATCGTCCTTCCAAAAGACCTGTGGAGACCATCTCTGAATGGAGGAGGGGCCTAAGGGTCACCATCTTACATGCTGTGAGCCATTCCCCAACTCTCTGTGAATGGTACTCATGGCCATCGGTCAATGATCACAGATCAGTGATCATGACATTTTCCATATTAATGATCATAAACTGACCTCGCAGCCCATTGGTCACCGGTGGTGCTAGGCTCAGTCATTGTGCAGGTGCTTATAAGGTTGATACCTGCAGTCAGCTGAGAGGAAAGAAGTGAAACATTTCTCCCACTGAAGACGTCCAGATGAACAGGACCAACTTTCTGGGTAAAAAACTCCGATTTTATTTCATATCAACGGTGGTGAGAGTTCAAATGTGATGTATAGAGTGTTATGAAAGGTGAGTCACTGTGCAAACATCTCTGAACATGATTGATTATTGATTACTTACCCTCTGACACCCAGCTGGTTCCCTGCTGCTGCCCTCTCTCTCCTCATATTTATCCTGACCTCCAGCCTCTCTTCCTCACTGGTGGAAACACAGCAGCACGTTTAACCTAAACAAAGATAAGCAGGTGTACCTTACAGACAGGTGCGTCCTCTGATACTCACACTTTGCGAGTTCTGTGCCTGCAGACAAACAGAGCAGTGATTCCCACAATCACAGCAGCGAGGAAGAGTCCAGCACTCACGCCTTCGATGACACCGCTCAGAGGCTCTGCAGGAGGAAACACAACTGTGATACTTTTCTGAATTTTTTACCTGCACCTGCTCGTCCCAGCTCGACCTCAGGTGTATTTTAATCGAGCTAAGGTATGTTCTCACCAGCCTCAGTGATGATGGGCTGCGATAGGCAGGTGTCAGAGAACAGCGGAGACAAGACACTCAAGTCCTTTGCATCATCATCAAACAGCTGAGTGAAAGCTCGGACGCTGATCCTGGAGACAAACACAGATGCCCCTAAGGTTATTCACGCAACACCTGACCGTAGAGGTAACGCTGGAGCAAAAAGTCTACGGGGCTGAAAGGTTCAGAGATGATGAGCTGGTTCTAACAAACCACTAAGGCTCCAGGTTTCTGGTCAGTCTACCGCCCTGGAGTGCTGCAGTTGGAGGAAGTGGACACGGAGTCAAGTACCTGACATTCATGCAGAGGATTTTTCAGTACCTGTAGGCAGTCTTTGGCTTCAGGGGTCCATCACAGAAGTGGTTCAGCTCTCCGCTAGACTCTGGGTCCTGGTCTGAGCCTCTGGCATCACAGCTGCCCCCTAGCAAGTCCATCCCAGTCCCCAAGCTGATGTTAAAGCTCTGAGTGGTGCTGTCAGGGCTCTCGGTGCATCGGCTGGGGAAATAGCTGGTCTGGTAGGACCTGATGGAGCTGTTGGAGCTGTAGTCCAGGTAGGAGGGCAGTGGGTGCTTCTGCTCCAGCTGCATTAGGCTAACATCTTCAAAAACAAACCAGAAGATTCACGGTTAGATTATTGCATCCTATTATCATCCTTCTGTCTGTCCATCCATTATTATTTCCATTATCCATCTATTGATTGGTGTATTATTAATCTCAACATCCACTCATTATTATTTTATCATCATCCATAATTCCATAATCCATCCCATTATCCATTATTTATCCCAAAAGAAGAGGTATGAGGGAATGGTGAAAAAGACCGATACCACCAAGTGAAGTCAGGTGACCAGAACAACAGGAAGGAGATCCAAGAGGAGGATCAACCAATCAGAAGAATTCCAGTAAACTGGCCTTATGTGGAGGCTGCTCACCTTCAGACTCAGTCACCACTACGGTGAAGTACTTAACAGCTCCATTGACGTCACTGAACCAGCTGCAGTTAAACTGGAAGGAGATGGAGGACTTGCTGACCACAGCAGACTGCTCACTGACCCGGGTACCGGAGGGGGGCACAGGAGGACCTTCAGGAGTCAACAGGAGGACAGCATGTTAAACACCCTCCGTCATACTGAGGACATGTTAACTTCCACTCGCTCTTACGGTCAAGCATGGTGACCACGTTGTCCTGAGCCTCGTCGCTGGGCTTCCCACCAGACATGACCTTCACGGAGACCGTGTAGTGTTTGTGAGGCTCCAGCTCAGTGATGATGTAGCTGTTGGAGTCCCGCTCAGCGAGTCTGGAGTACATCAGTGTGTGGGAATCCTTGCGGAGACACTCGATGGTGTAGGAGTCATAATCAGTGTCCGGGGTTACCCAGGAGCAGGAGATGGAGGTCGAACTCTGAGGGCGACAGTGGAGGCTGTGGACTCTCTCTGGCTCTGTAGACGAAAGTAATGCAGTGAAACCACATGACAATTCACATCAGAATTGACATAAAGTGCTGCCACCTACTGGTGCGGATGCTTTTGCGGATAGGTGTGCTATAGGTAGGTGTGGCCCCAGGCTCTGTGGTCCCACTGACGGTGCGGAGGCTGAAGTTGTAGAGCCGTCCAGGGAACATCCCCCTCAGGATGCGGTTGCTGGACGTCCGGGTGTGGTACGGATTGATGAGGGACAGCCGGTCCCGAGGAGTCCACTGCAGGTCAAAGTCATCATAGTCGGAGTCCACAGGGCCGCTCCATGTGATCTCCAGGGAGGTGTTGGTCACCCCCCTGAACAAGATGGAGGCAGGTGGTCTGGGAGCTGAGGAGGGACAGGATTTGATCAGAAACTATTCCGATTCGTGTCTCTGCTTAAAATGAGGATTTCTTCTGTTCTGCTCCTCGTGTTTCTAGACTTTATGTTTTAAATGTCTCTTGTTACTTTATGTTGCGACTGCATGCTGCACTGATAAACTGGAAAAATGCCTTTTGCTAAACCACTGAAACTGCTGACTGAATATCAAGGAATACTGAGGTGATCTGAGCTCTAACAGAAGCTGCATCTTACCCGTCCGGCCCAGGGTGCTCGCCCTGTTGCTGAGCCCGCCGCTCCGGCTCAGCACCTCAGCTCGATACAGGCGACCCGCTACAAGGCCTGAGAAGATGAACCCTGTGGCCTCTGAGCCCAGCTGATGCATGGCCTGCTGAGAACCGTTGGGGTTGTAGAGATACAGCTGGTATCCACTTAGGTCACCGTCACCACGCTCCCAGTTTACCCAAAGACTGTCAGACTGGTTTCCACTCTTAGCTTTCAGGAACGCTGCAGCTGACGGGACTGAAGAGAAACACGATCACTGATATAATCTGCAGGTCCACTCTTCAGGTACAGAAGGCATAATATCCTTTACATTTTATTTCCAGTCAAGGACGTGTACTCTGGAGGACCAGCTGACCTCACCTGTTCTGGCGTAGATGGAGGTCTGGTTGGTCTGGTCTCCACTGTGGATCTGGATCAACATCTTGTAAGGAGCACCAGGCCTGAGGCCCTGAAAAGAGCACTGCTGACTGTTGGACTGGACGCGCTTTTTCTCGTGCAGCTGGTCATTACGATCATACAGAAAAACTTCATACAGCTGAAAGTCTCCCTCTGGTGGCGACCAGCGAAAGGACAGGCTGGTGGTGGTGTTTGCAGTGACGGCCAGATTGGTGACCACCGCTGGGTCTACAGGAGAAGGGACGAGGGAAGCTTTTAACTTTCACTAAACTTCATCAATCATACTGTGTATTTGAGGAGAGAAATCAAGAGTTTCTCACACATCACTGTAAATCGATTTTAGGTCAAACCACCAGAACCTGGTGAGTTATT